GTAAAAAGCTTCGATATCTTTCGCCGATTCTTTGCTCATTTTCTAGTAATCAAACGCGGAAATTCTTGCCGGAGAAAGTCTGACCAAACTGCCAGTTACTCGGAGCGATGTTTTTGGAAGTGGAGCTACGACCATCGGAGGCTTTGACTCGGAAAGAAAGAGATTGGCCAACAAGAACCGCGTTGGACTGCCAGTTTTGTCCCCAATTCCGGCTAAGATCTAGCCAAGCTGTGTTGGTTCCTTTCACACTAACTTTCACGATATCTCCGGCTCCGGCTACGTTAGTGACTAGTACCAAGTTGAAGAACTTGAATCCATTGATCGTGAATCTTACACCTCCCTTCTTCCTACATGGGATCCTACAACACCACAAATAAATATATGAATACAAAAATTAGTTATGTCTACAAAATGCATACTCTTATGAAATGATATGACCCGGCAAATGTATGGGGTTGAGTGAGGAAGTGTCGGGACTCTAGCTGACTTCGATGCAAAAATGTTACTGAAACTTAGGAATCGAGATATGTAAATGACTGAATCAACCTCGGGATTTTTACCCGGATCTAACCGACCCGGTTTTTGAAGGGTGTTTTGGTAAGTTAGAAGATGGACGTGTGATTAAAGGTCATGGCTTTAAAAGGGACTAAAAAGACATGAAAAGGTGATTGCATAGACTCAACTAAAAGAGTAAGTTAATAGAAAAAACTTTTCAGTTTTAGTTCCCAAGAAAATCAAGCAACTTTCTAGGGAAAATAAGAAAAATGGAATAAAGAATAGAGTGAACATGCGAAGGCTCTGCAAAATCTTCAATCTCACAGATTCTTAAAAAAAAAAGTGACTTCTGTTGCAAAAGAAATAACCTTTTCTTTATCAAAAAAAAAAGAAGAAAAGGAAATAACCTTTTACATTTTTGACTAAGCAACATTAGGCGATTTTATCGGATCAATCTCGTAAATAAGCTAAGCAAAATAAAAATTAAAAAACTTAATTTCTCTAGACAAACAGAGGTTGCAACTCAAGAAGGCAGAAAATAGAGTATAGAGTTAAAAAACAGAGTAGAAAACAGAGCATATAGAGATGAAGTTACCTGCGGTAAGAGACAGGGACAATACCAGCCTTATACTTAGCGATGGTTAAAAACATAGGCATGGCTAGATCAAAGTGTTCACGAGGAGGGTTACACCAACCACCATTATCACTAGGTTGATCGAAGTTTGGTGGACAGAAATTAGTAGCTGTAATAAGAATCGATGGGTTTCCAGGTAAACACCAACCCGGATCATTAACACATTTTAGCTCAAAGCATGAACCACAACTCAAACCATTGTTGAATAAAGCAGTGCTTAAAGCTGCTGTGTTTACACCATAACCTTGACTATACAAATTCCCATACCCACACGCACCACCTACAAGTTTTGTCACACCATAAAAATCGTTACTTTAAGGATGATATTGATAAATTAGAAACTTTTGGGGTCTAAAATGTAAAACAGAGGAGGTTAGAGAGAGAGAGAGTACCCATAGTGCCGGAAGCGTCGGCTCCGCCGTAGAAGGTGGCGTGAGCATTGATCCAGGGACCTCCGGTGTAAACTCCGGGGATTTTTGCGGTTACTGTGGTCGCTGTTAAGACAACAACCACCATAACTGCCATTACTCTCAGTACTTTAGCCGCCATTTTTTTGTTAGTTAGAACAAAAACGTTTCAGTTTTTTGA